GAAACAAAATCAAAACAAAGAGCATCAAACAATTAGAAATGAACACGTTAATCACTTTGACATTACAGGACAGTCAGCAATGAAAATAGATGAGACACACAGGAAATACCTTGAGTAACAAAGCAAGGTGGTAGTCCTTTGAGATCGTGAAGAAGGAAGCAGGAAGGAGAGCCGTAAAGTAAAAGAACCAGAGTTAAGGTTTATTGAAGCTAAGGTTCATAGGCCTTTTAGAAAAATACTGTTCTAGTCTTGGGGCACATCACAAGCAGCTGGAGAACCAAAACCAGCACAAGCCCCAAGAAGACTAAAACCGAGTGTGAAACATATCACCTATGCAAAAGAGTTTACACTGTTTTACACAAAGCCCTGTGTATCAAAAGAAGAAAAGGTATTTCAACTTCCGTGGCCATCTCTGGCATAACTGAAACATGCTACTGAGTGAGCTAAGAGAATAAAAGAACTGCCCACAATTGCAGTGCTGCCTAATGGAACAGAAAAATAGTATACACAAAAAGCATCACAGAGGCATCTGTCAATAATTAGTTTGCCATTAATTTTACATCACTGAAATTAGGTATTTTTCTCACTTTCATCATGGACAAATCCTTTACCAAGAAGTCACTTCTGAAAGTTAGTCATTCAATATTAAGAGTTTCTTATAATCATCCCCTCCTTTAACACGGAAGAGTACAAGATGTTCTATTGTATCACTGCACTTCCTACAATGAATTTAGGAGTCTCCTTCTTACTGTATTTAACATTACTATGGTCACAGGTTTTAAACAAATACAGGAATACAAATGCCACTTCTTGAGAAGCTCTTACAGACTTGTTAAAAGTAACACCAAGATTATTATAGCATACTGAAAAGCAAAAAGTCATTTCCCTACTTCAGCTGTTTGCTAATTCAATTCAGTCAGTACCCATCAGTCCCTTCTTTTGCAGGCTTTCTTTAAAAGGACACAAAATGCAGGACTGAAAGAATTTTCTCTGTAGCCCTCATGTTGCCAGCAATTACATTATACTACCAATTCCATAAACTGATGAAAATTCTTTGCATCGCTAGGCTAGGCCTGTGCTTTGCGGCTACTTCTGAACCTTTTTGCTTTGGTCCTTAGAAGCTCTTAACTCTCAGCACAAGTCTACCCACAACTAGTTTCTACAACTTATTTGCATGAAGGATGTCCCTTAGCTTAAATTATTTACCTAAGTAGTCTCACATTTATTCATCCCTTTTGTCTCCGAGAAGACTTTATGGAGAGCAATCACACTCCTTATTAGCTTTTACACAGCTAAGTTAAAAGAAATTAACTCTGCTAGTCTTCTTCATGCCCTGATCACTTAAGTACTTTTTCCTCTGCAACTATTCTAATGTTTTGCTTTGTTCTTGAACAAGGGGAGGGGAAAAAAAAAAAGGTGCAATACCAAGAAGTGTTCAGCTCACTGCCTGAAGTTCTTCTGGATGCCCTTGAAAGCAAAAGCTGCCTGATTTTTGAAGTGTAGCATTAAAAGAAGAAACTAAGTTTTTACATATTATAAACTATCTGAAGAGTCCACTGCTTCCATCTGTTTCAAGATTCAAACACTTGCTACTTTTCCTCTGTAAAGTAACTGTGATTTCCCTTTCAAAGTTTGGTTTTGGTTTTTTTTTTTTTTTTGGCTATATACCCAACGGAACTGGGCAGAGTTCTCGGAGAACAAAAATCTGTACCTTATAGATACAATTATATGACAACCACTCACATATTTAATAATCTGTATTTAATAATTTAATAATCAAGTATGATACTGAAGCTTGAATGAATTGTCAAAGCCTGATAACATTTCTTAATCAGAAAGAAGTCTTTTCACCTAGCACAGAATATTTCTAGAACTAATGAAGTACCTCCTGTCCAGCTGCCCTCCACCCTACACTTCGCTTCTCATCTCATCTGTCTAAAGAGAGCTTGGGAAAGGATATAGGTACAAGTGCCTGAAAAAGCAGAACTATTTTTCCCCCATGTAACTCTGAGTGACTAGCACTACTTTACTCACGTTGCCCTGTAAACAGAGGGTCTATTTTTCAGACCAGTGATTAACTTTTTAGTGTCCCTGCCAGCAAGGGTGCCAGTCGTGCAGAAATCAATTTGTTTCACAATCTGTTTCAGCCTCATCAAACATTTATTTTAAGACAGGGACAAGGCTTAGATTCCAAGACCTAGAGAAGGAAAACCACAATGCAGGCTTGCAGAATAATCAGGTTGAGAGGCACCTCAGGAGATCTCTAGTGCAGCCTTCTGCTCAAAGCAGGGTAAGCTATGAGGTCACACTAGGTTGCTCTGAGCTTTATCCAGTCAGGTCTTGAAAATATCCAAGGATGGCAACTGCACAACCTCTATGGTCAAGCCATTCCCTTGCTTGGTTGTCCTCATGGCAGGCTCTTAGGTTTCTCTGAAGCAGTCTTCTCCAGCCTCTCCTCACAGGGCAACTCCTCAAGCCTCCCTGATTATTTGGCCCTCATCTGAACTCCATCCAGTTTATCAGGATCTTTTTTGTACTGGAGACCCCCAGCTGGATGCAGTATGCTAGACACAGTCTAATGAGTGCCAAGTGAAAAGGGATAATGACTTTCCTCAACCTGTGCTCTTGTTAAAACAGCCAATCCCGAACACCTCCTACAGAGTTTTAGCATGGAAGGACGCAATTAATCTATAACCACACCATCACTTTAAGACCTGCCCAAATCTCCAGGATAAGGCAGTCAGCACTGGAATGGTGATCTAGTAGGTACTGCTCATCAATCCAGACAAAAGTACCTTTTGAACTTAGAATCATAGAATGCTTTGGGTTGGAAGGGACCTTGAGAGATCATCGAGCCCAACCCTCCCTGCAGTAAGCAGGGATTGAACCTGTGAACTTGGTGTTATTAGCACCATGTTCTAACCAACTGAGCTGACTTACTGTGTTGTGTTTCACTAAAAATATAAAAACCACAAAATGAGTGCTATTAATCCAGTAGTAGATTGGAGTAGTCAAGGTAACAAGACATCTGCCTGCACAGGTTCACTGCCTCATACTGTCACACACTAACTCCAAAATTAAACATGTAATTCCAAACATATTTCAGTCATTCCTAATATTCAAGTGCTATACTTTCATTTATACCAAGATCAGAATGAGAGAAATTTACTGTAGAAAGCATTAACCCTTTACACAGCAAAGCCAGACAATCCAAACAAATCCGATACCAAAAATGCCCACTTGCATGCATGCCGTGTGCTTACCTTTAAAATTTCCACTTTCAAAGAGAAAACTTTACCCTACATATTGGACAACATGATAAAGACTTATTCCACTGTAATGAAGAGTTCTTAGTCATTCTTGACAGGTTCTTCAGCAAATGCCCAGGCTTTTCACAGCAGAAGCCAATTCTGACTACCTGCTTTCCCACTATTAATTTAGCAAAACATATTAGTACCTGGAAGGGCTCCTGTGATATCAAGAATACTCAACTTTAGATAACATAATTCAGTAACATGCTACTTCTATGAAAGCTAGCTTATCCTGTTAAACAGCCTAGTTTTTTCTATGGAAAATAAAAAAAATGCCTCACACCAACATGCAATTCCTCTTAAAATCACAGAAAGACAATGTAAGAGCAACTAATTTCTGTGAATTAGAATATGAGTATTTTCCAAGACTCCTCAAAGAGCTTTTCTTGCTCTTTGCTGTCCACTTAGCACTACCTATATCTGGTCTTTAAGCTGCAAAATTAAAGAAGTCTCACTAACCAGAAGGCTAGATTATGGTGCAACACAAAATAAAAGCAGGACTATGTTCACACACAAGTTTAACATGAAAACGCCCTACAGAAATGAAAATAATCCTGCAAGACAGAATATGCTTCGTGGTAAACATCAAAATCAACGTAAAATGCATTTTGAATGAAGTTTCAAACATTCTTCCAGGCTTCATAAGACAGAAGCAAGACTATAAAAATACAGAGTTTTACACCAATATGGTAGAAATACTATGGTAATAAGTTCTCGTTAGAGACACATTGATTGCCATGCAATCATCAGAAAAGGGATGCCATAAAATGGCTAACTTCATACAGTTCCTAACAACTTTGCATAAGATTAAATAGATACCAGACGACACAGAGTGCAATTCTTTCGACATGGCACTTTTCCTTGCAATTCTAAGTATTGACGTAATCAGATATCAAGAGATAAGAATGCTAGATAAAGAACAACTTTGGGATTTAATACTGATTTTATATGGAAGTTTTATATACTATTTACAAGTTAGATATTAGTTGTCCAGTCACATTTCACATGAGAAAGCTGACAAGATGATCTTAAGATTTTTCCTTTCAGATGATCACCAGTAGCTGTTTGAACTTATTTCTGATAATCTATTTCAAAGCTCTTACCTTCCAAAACAGAATACTACAGTGTCGACAGAAATGCAAGGTGTCCCCGTACTGTTCCTTTATTGGGTAATATTTCTGAAGTGCAAAGTACATCAGCTTCCAGTCAATGTGACCTTTCTCTGATGGAATCAAATGCCTACAAAACTGGACATAAAATTAATATCTTCCTTTAAAATTGTTAAAGAACTAATCAAATCAGGTAAAGGACTGGGGAAAAAAGGTAGTTAAACAAGTTTTGTAGCTCAAATTCTTTGAAATCAATAATCTGACATCACACATCTCTGCAAAGCAGTGAAAGAGATCTAGCCACAAAAAAAGTGGAAGGTAAAATGCTAAAAATAGGAGGTTGCATATTTGCCAAGAAAAAGTAGGCCATACACAGCTGATCTAACTCTGTCTTGAAATTATTCTAATTATAGTCAATAACCATATAACAAAACCAATATTTAGAACCATAAGTAATTAATTTTATACCTTTTAAAAGACCACTCAGGAATAAGATTAAAAAAAAGATTGTGCATGACAAATAGTGGTTTTCTGTTAAGGCAGTAACTATGGATTTAGATAATGCTTTTTTCTTTCATTTTAAAAGTATATACATGATTATTTTTCACATTTACTTATGATCTTTCTGGAAGGATAGCAATAATCAGTGATTAATGGACTACTTAAGGACATAATCTGCATGTAAACATTAGCTGATGCACAATGGCTGTTTCTCCCCAGCTTAATACACAGCCAAGATTTATTAAGTATGTATTTGTAAAGGGCTTCTGTTCCACTCAGTGTGGATTAATGCTAATACATTAAGGGCTTTCTTCATTCAGAAGACAACTCCTAGATGGGGAGAATAGCACTGCCCTTCTGATTTCAGCTACACTTCACTTCGTTTCATAACAGCTTCCCTGTGTAGAGATCTTGTTTTTTTTCCAAAAGTGCTCTTCAGATATCAAGTATGTTTTTGTGGTTGTTTCAATGGTTCAACAAATATACCGCAGAAGATGGGGAAAAACAACCTAACATGACTCTGTAGCTTATTAAGGTAGTACACTTTTAAACAGGAAAAGCAGAATTTGATACTGGAAAATAAATAAAATCATTAGATTTCTATCATTAATAACCTAATAAGAAATTGAATGTGAACATTTAGGAACACATTGGAAACACTGTGTACAAGTGCCCTTTATAAGGCACAGGGCTAGCTAGTTCTACTGAAATGCTTAAGTGATCTTTTTCCCAGCATTACCATAGTTGAACAGCTTCCTCTCCAACCAGTTTTGTCACTGTTCAGTAGAGCTTACCTCATCTAGCCTCAAAATCCACTCAACTGCTACATTAAGCTTAAACTTCTTATCCTCATAACTTCACCTTGAATTCTTCTGAGTCACTTCTGAAGCTGGGTTTTTCAGTTTGCCCTTGTCTGTCTATATTCTCCATGAAGTTCATTCTAAAGCCTTTCATCTCACCAAAATTCTTATTTGGGTCAAATTCTTATTTGAGTTAATTAATTTTCCCTTCTGCCTTACCTGTTATAAATAATAGTTAATCTGGTAGTCACTGACCAAATGGTACCACTTCAACCTGTCAGATTCAAGAATGCATATATTCACTTTCTCCAGTCTGGAATGTACTAGGTTTTTAAAGTTCTTCCTCCAACTCTGATGAGGTAACTTCTATTTTCATAGCTTTATTTTCACCTAGTCTGACTTTGTCCCAGCATATATTACTGTCAGAAAATGAAGACAGTTCTGGAGGCATTCCTAGATCACTTTAATACTTTTTATGAGGAACTGACAGAAAAGTAGCATTTCTCTTTGTTCTTAATTTCAAAATCTCAAGCATTTGTTCTGTTCTCTTTCACAAAAATCCAATTTTGGCTTCACCAGACTGTTCATGTAGCCTAAAAGTTTGAGCATTCTGTCTGCCTACCTTGGTTGGTAAAACAAGTTCTACTTAAGGTACTAAAATTAGAAACACCTTAGAGGTATCTTCTACCACACTTGTTGGTGATTGTGTAGTTTAAAAAAAAAAATCATCTTACAGTAGACATTTTTTAAAATAATGCAAGGAAATAGCCTGATAGTTATCCCTAAACTCACAGACATGCTGAATACAATTTTTAGTATGAAACAAGCCCCAAAAAGAGAACATTTTCACTATTACTTCACACTGTCACATTTTTATCTCAGAAAGGGTGAGTTCACACTCCATTATTAGTATACCATATTGCAAACATAAGGGGCACATTATGACAGAGTTTATTACCTGCTTCTCTGCAAAATGGTACTGGCAGAGTTTTTTCCACAACTGCCTGTCTTCACTGAGCATGTACAAAGTTGGGGTCACTTGACCCAGAGTAATAATGTCCCAGCCATCAGAGAACCTGTATAAGATGTTGTTCAGCATATGGAGAGGGAGATCGCTAAGCGTAAGACCATTGTTGACTTGCTGGAAATAAGAGTTGAAGACTTTTAACTGCAAAAACTTGATAGTATAAGGTACAAATAAGATTCTTACTTTAGAGGTGTCTCAGGTCTTAGCTTAGTTTGTACAAAACCATTGAGTAATATCTATGGTTAATTCTGTGATACTTTGGTTACTTGGCTACCATTATTCTCTAACTGCTGTTGTTGAAAACTGAAATGACTACAGGTACAGGAGGGGCTACAGACTGTAGCTTTATAACTTATAGCTTTCCTACTGTTAAAATAAACATATCCTAAATTCTATTTTAAATTTAAAATAATTTTAAAACACTTCTCTTATCAGAAAATAATTCAAGCATGTTGTCTTGAAAACTATGATATATTCAATTCCACCTTTTAGAAAAGTGTACTAAAACCCTAACTATAATAAAGGTATGAACCAATTATTTGTAATTTGTAGGATAATTAGTTTCTCAATTTTTATTGAGAAACAGAGCACATGTCAATTTGCCTTAAGACAACTACAGTGCAGAATATAGCACTGAAGAGCAGAAATACAGAATGAAAACATTAGGAAAGTCAGAGGCAGAAGAGTAGGTTCATTGCTGAAGTCTGGGGATAGTTCCCCTCAAATGTAAATGAGGAATTCTGCAGGGAGTGACAGATCAGAGCACTGAGAAAGTTTTCACTGAGAGTATACACCTCTGCTGAACTTTCTCTTTGACGGGGTAACCTACAGCACAACTCGTACACGACAATCTGGAGCCCATACTGCCAGGTGGCACAAAGCCAACAGGGCCGAAGGCAGTGTCCCAGCTGGCAAGGCAGGGAGCATGGGCAGCTGCCGGCCCCCCCTAGCAGAGCTGCCCAGTCGCAAGGCACTGGCAGTGCAGCAGCTGTACGCTAGCAGGCTCTCACTTATGTCAGTTTATTTCACAACCATTCATCTCCCTTATAGACTAGACTTTCCATCGTGTCATCTGTTATAAACATCTCCGGGACTATCATTCTGTTCAGGAATGTGTGAGCACTGCAGATGCAAGATTTCTCATCGGTTATTTCAACCAATGTGAAACAGCTCAGATGGAAGTGGCACGCTGGAAAGAAAGACAGACAGCAACTGCAGTGTCTCAAAACTGTCTATACCGTGGTTGCTTGGCATATGAAAACTCTGAGACTGGGTTCCCCATTTCTCCTTTCTATTCCAAAATTAGCCGTTTTATTCAGATACCCAGCACACACAGCAAGGACAATTTCAAAACTTCCTAGCAAACAGATGAAACAGTTGTATAACTTTAATGTGAGCAACATCTTGCAGCATTTCTTCCTCCAGGAGTAACCCAGACAGGTTAAAAAAAAAAAATTGCTTGCTTATCAGAAGTTTCCACTATAAAAACCTGGAACAGTGCATACCACATGCTTTGTTCAAAGTCGCAAGATCAGAATCCAGATGCTGAAGTCATTATCCTTTTTCTACAAAAAGCAACTGTGCTAATGAATAAAGCTGTAAAATTGTTACTTGAATATTTTATTTCTGTTTTCTTGATCCACCTCAAATTCCTTTTAGATTTTTATTTCTTCAGGAGTAGAACATTTACTTTGGAATTAAAAATTGGTATTTTTTCCATCTCTGACAATCTAGAGACAAGCATTTTTAAACTTATTTGGGTGAGAAAAACAATTACATCTATACATCTCTACCACAAACCAGCAGTACAGGCACTGTAGCAGCCCTCATTAGAAAAAAGCTATTAAAACATTAGAAAATTAAGTTGATTCCATTTCATTAATTTCATACTACTTCTCTAAAAGCAAAGGAAACAAGTAAAAGTGTTTAAGATGTATTTGAAACTTTGTTCATTTACAGATCATAAACCAATGTTCGATAGAATTTCCCTCCCCCAATTACTTTTTTAGTATGATTTAATCGTGTACCTTGTTCATCTGAAGGTTTTTTAGTTGTTGTTGCCACAGAAGGATAGTTTCTAACCGGCAAATCCAAATATTGATGTTCCCTACCAACACAGATTTTCCTACTCCCCTAATCAGTATACAGAGAGTAGAACTCAAATCCTGTAGAAGATCTTTGATTAATCGTGGATTATATTGGTCTTCCATGACTGGAACACAAAACAAACCAAATACAGTTTTGGTTAACTGAGTTAACCAAGCTAGTATAGTTAGCTCAAGCTCATCAACAGTTTTTTAGATGATCTAATTACAACTCAACTGTCTGTGTACAAATAGCTGCCCTAATTCCCACCATGACATTCATTAATGCCGTTTCATAAGTGCAAGATCAATAATTAACAATTTCACAGGAAGATTTGATGTAACATCACATGCTATGCATTTGATAAACTTAATGCTGAACAACTAATTATAAATCAAGTTTCTTCTGTTCAAAGCTGATAGTATTACATCTCCATTTAGTGAAAATTTTTTTTTCAATTATGTAATAGCTTTTTTTAAAAGTAAACAATAAAGACAAGCAGTTATGTACTTTAAATCTCAGTACATCATGCAAACTGAAAAACAAACATGTTACTAACCTAAAAGCTTTCACATTTCAAAGAGTATAACATATTGGTAACCAATAGCTTCTGAATAGAATCTAATTGTCATTTAACATCACCAATCCATTTCGACAGACATGATTCAATAATCAAGAAAAAACAACTTATTGCAACTGTGGGATGGGAAGTATGAAACCTTTCACTAACTGAATATGCTATTGCTTTGTCTTACAATGTAAAAACAGTAATAAAGCCAACAAAAAAAACCCCCACCCACGATAGCTTAGTCACAGCAATTAAATCTGAACAGGCAGATTACAAAACCTCAGGTCTTACCCTTCCGCACAATTTTGTCCAAAATGTTAAAGTAGTTCTTCTGTGCTGCACCACTCAGTGAAGTTAACTGGGATTTTGCAATTAACTGCAAAAGCTAGGACAAAGAATTAAAACTCAAAAGAATGACAGAAGTAAAGGATGGTTTCAAAAACATACTTTCAGTACATACATTCACCTACAACAGCCTAGAGCACTACAACCGTATTTTGTGAAAACATAACTACAGAGTTCAGAAAACAAAGCAAGACAAATGTGGAAAGCTTTAGGCATTCCCACTGTCATCCCACAAACAACTCATGAAGAGGTGCACATTTTCAAAACACTATACAAATACTAGTGTTTATCTCTGTGATAGAACACATGACATACGGTCTTTATAAGTTGTAATGAAACAGTGGAGGGCATCTGTTTTGGAGGCTCACAAATAGAAATGCGGTCCTTGATGTGGCTGGGTCCTGAACCCCCTGACAGATTTGGTGGCCAGGAACATCACTCTGAACTGATACCAGCTACCAGACTTCCAAATTCTGAGTGAAAGCATCATACTGGTCAAACCGAGGTGCGGTGGACTTAGTGCACTACTCTCTGCTCATGGAGAGGAAATGTCATATTTTACTTAAACTAGGAAGAAATACTCTGTATTACTCCCACATTCAGGTCCCTCGTAGAAGAAACCACAGTAATCTAATAATGAGCAGTATACATACTGTATTAATACCTTTCCCTTAACTATATAGTAAGGATTTCCTAACTGTCCACACATTTCTCTCCAGAACCACTGTGAACAGATGAGTGGCAAGAACAGTGGGAATGTTCTAGGGGAAAGTAACCAGAATAGCTTAAGTTCTTGCTGCACATCAATGCCAAGCTACAGCTACTAGAGGCAGCCCTTTGCTCCATTCTGACACCTTTGCTTTTACATTTTAGATTCAGTTTTGTAGCTGACAAGGACCATTGCCTCTTCAACAAAAAATGGTCTCTTAGTATGAAATATAAGAGAGACTTCGATGTTATGACAGTATTGCAATGTTTAGAGGTGTGGCACTGAGCTTTACAATTGTAATTCATAATGCTGAGTTCAGAACAAATGTTCTTAATACATCAGAAAGGAAAAGCTGAGAGCAGAAACCAGCATCCCCTACAGAGCGCCTGAAACACTAACCTGCAGAGCCATGCTTTGTAGAACAGCATCAACTATTGGCACAGAGGGTGAACAAAGACTAAGCCTGCCAAAAAATTATTTTGTATCTTCATTTCTAAAACACTCATTTGACACTACACTCAACATTAATTTTCCTTTGCAGGAACAGAGAATACACCTGTTCTCTCCCCGATTTAATAATGTTCCTTCTGGCTTCTCTGCATGATCCCTGACAAAACATTATGTGCTATGAAAGGAGGAAATCATTCTCCTGATGTATTTAAATAGAAGCAATCTATTTATACAGTTTTTGCGACTAGATATCAGAACCTCTTTCTTGGCGTTTTCAAAGCCTTTTAATTTGATTAATAATTTAGAGCACACCTAGAGGTCTCTGGAAGTCTGCCAATTCAAGCAAGTATATATATTTCTCTTGATTAATTTAAAAAAAAATCAGTTATGTCACTCAGACTCAAGATCAAATCAAAGAAACAAATTCTACCTGGCTGATTTTTAATGAAGATTCCAATTTCAGTGAAGATCAATATGCAAGGATTAAGACAATTTTAGCAGGTGCATGAGTACAAGGATCTGACACACAAGTGTAGTCTTACCAGCACATGCATAGCCATGGCTTACATTGTCTACTAGAGATCATAACTTTGAATGGATCAACTGTTTATTCAAATGGAAACATTTCAAAAAGAGACCATCCATATTAAACTCAATGTATCGGACATTTAACAGATAAGAAAGAAATGATCATTATAGTACAGCACGAATAAGTACAGGAAAACAGCTGATCCTACCTCCTCCCCCCACTGCCCACCCTAAAAAGGTCCCAGGCAGACATCTATATTAACTTTTAATAATGACTGGGAGGTTTTTACTTAGTTGGAGAATCAAAATGGATCATCTTGGTGGTCTGGGATCAAAGAAGAGCTATCCAGTAGGGCTCGATATTTAAGAAAAAAAAAAGTCATCTTGATTTATATCTTACTATCTTAAATGCAACAAGCAGAACAACACACATAAGAGTAATCATCATCGTTGTGTTCATGCATAACTACAAATAATTCTTAGAGAAGAAAAAATAGGAACTGCTGCACTGCATTAAATGAGATCTACACAAAACACTTCCACCATTAGAAACTTCAGGGAAGTAAATGGGAACTTGTATAAAGCAGATAGGTATGGGATGACCTGCTCCTTACATTACGTCTCAGACTGGCTCGTAGACTGGCTTAAAACCCAATACAGCAGATTAAACATCCTTTTTAAAAATCTGTTACAACTTCACATATTACTGACATCCACACAGATGTTTTGTTAGATACACCACCACAAGTGTTTCTCAAGTCAACAAGTTCTACAGCTACAGAATGAGCAGCAGCTGTCATTCATGTTGATCATGTTATTAGCAGCTCAGTAATTTTTAAGGTCTTAGATGTACAGTTTCTGTACCTGTTGATAAAAGTCAGTTTGCCTCCATCACCTCAGAGGAACTGATGCAAAGATATAATTCAATTTTTGTAATTGTAAAACAATTCTAAAATTTAAAAAATGTCAAATAAATTCTAAAATGTTAAAAAGATTTTGGAAGTCTGCCTGCTATTCTGAATCCACCCTAATTTCTTAGGGTCTACCATTACTCTAGTAATGGCTTGGATCACAAAGCCAAATTTCTGAATTTTAACATATTGCTCCTTTCTCAACAATCTTAAGCCTGGCTAATTAAACCAGCCATTTTACATTCTTTGGCAAAAGAAGATAAACTTGTCAATGTGCTTATGTTAGACTTCGCACTTTGTTCCAATCAACTGTTTTGAGCAACCCAGCTTAGGCACTGCAGCATCTAAAAAACATGTAAAATTCTAGCTCTGTATTCATTCTACCTTTTTACCATTCAAGTGAGGCACTCAAGGTTGACACCATTTATAATACAAGTCACCTTTTTTAGGTGCTTTTTTTCCTTCCTATTGTTTGAGGCTGAAAAGTCTTGGGAAAGATCAAGGTTCTTGTTTCTGCTCCCAAAACAGCACTAAAAAGCCACATTCTAAATCACGATGCATACATATACCAAAAAATCTGCAAGGGGAATAAAACAGGCACGTGCCTTAACCACTAGCCTGGAAGCAAATCATTTTTGCTTTGTTTCCTTTGGTTCCACACCTTGTGTTTTTCTGGAAGTATAATACACTGTCTCAGCTTCACAAGGATGGGTAGAATGTGTTTTCTCTCAAAATACTCCACAGCCCAGTGGTAAGGGTGTTCTCCTGGTATGTTTATTTAATTTTGATTTGTGTCTTTTCAAGTTCTGGATGCATTCCAACCACTACACTATTTGTGAACAGTCTCACCACTGAACTGAACTCTAATCCTGATATGTCTCACAATTTGAGCTTCTCTAGGAGTTGGGACAAGCACTTTACTACGTCAAGTCAGATGACAAAAAAAATTGGGGCTAGAGAGAGATCAGTATCTCCCAGAACAGGTATTTCCAAGTGGGCAGCTGGTTAGGCATTAAGGAAATTAAGGCGTAACATTATGTGGCTCTCTAAAGTATAAGTTACATAGCTCTGGAAAACAGGCAGATAGTACCGCTGTCCAGAACTTACAGGTTCCATGCACTTAATTCTCACCTTAAGACTAGACCTGACCCAGAGAAGCTAACATAGTGAGAAAGGGACTTTCCAAGGAATCATGAGATTAGTATATCATAATTGTTTCTATAAACTTCATGTCACTGCGTTATTTGTAAAAGACAACTTGCAATAAAATTCATTTCTGGAAGACAAAAAAAAAAGGAAGACTGGAAAAAAGCTGGAGTCTCAAGTTTTAAGGGATATTAACAATGGTAAAGGCATATGTATCTTGTCCTAGATTAAAAAAAGTGTGTAATGAATCACAGGACTGTTAAAAAGCTACAGAAGAAACAAACTGCAGAATATTTACACATCAGATATTCTTCTGGAAATTGCTATTGTAAGCATATTTATGATGTAGTAAAGACATTTAAGATGTACTACACTCTGCTATTTTTCATTGTGTAGGAATTATTTTGCTTTTAAAGAGAGTTCACTACCCAGACCGATGAACAACTGAAACTACCATCAGTGTTTCGCTGTAAATACATAGCATGCTGGCCCTCACCATCTTCCTCAAGCTGTAGGCTTTCATAGAGCAACATAACAAATTTTCAAAGAAAAATTACTCAGTTTAAAGTTGCTTCATGCAATATAAATTACATATGAACAGGATATTTATACAGTCACAAATCATCAGCTCTTCTGTGCAAAATTATTTCTTTTGCACACATAGGCACATCAGCAAATTCATCTTTAAAACATGAGTACAAAGAACTTACTTTGACCACATAATTGAACCTTCTGATGTCCTGAATTGCACTTGAAAAGTCTAAGCGGTTAAAAGCTTCTCCCAAAGTGCAATAGCCGTGTCTCTGAGAAGAAGAATAAACACACTTTAAATGGAAAGAAACAAAGATACAATTGAGGAAAATATTCCAAAAAGCACTCTGCCACACAACTGATGCTTATGCATAACATGCTCCCTGGAAATATAATGTATCCGCACTGAAGATTTATTTAATTTCTTATAGAACAAATAAAACCAGATACGCTATTTGGAACTAACAGGTACATGGCAATATTACTCAACAGCAAGGCCTTTAAATTCATACTAATCACGCAATCTGTAATCACTGGTATTTGAGTGTCCTGGGAATCTACTCCCTATGGCATGGCCACAATGCTGGCACTCTCTCACGACTATCATACTCCGCATTTGCCTGAGCACAAGGTAGAGCTTGTTTGCACAACAGTCTGCGCTTACAACCATAAGCATTAACTGACTGAGTTTATGTTCACATTTGAGGGTAAGAACACAGCTATTTGCTCCTGGGATTGGAAGAACAAATGGTCTCAACATCTAGAATTTATGACCTGGGTGCTAGAAGTTTAGGCACAATTTTTCTTCGGTAGCAAGAGAAATTGCATTTTCTTTTGGTACTTCTGCAGAGGTGTCTTGAGGTAAAAATGGAGGTTTCAGAGGCTGTTGTGGAACTACTTAAGGTGGCTGCAGCAGCCCAAAATGACATGGGATCACGTTAAGTTCAGTAAATTTAGAGCCACAAAGCCACATGGGAGCCTTGGAGCAAATATAATGAGGCTAGAAAAACCCTACAACTGGTGAAAGAGATACTTGCAGAGCAGTGTGCTAGTACAGCGATAAGCCCAGGGAAGGAGAGGGATAAAAAATTATTTGAAGTTCATTCCTAGACAGACTTCCTCAGTGAATTACATGATGGTAAAAAGGTGGCAGTACAACTTAACATTCCCCTGTGACCCAGTGAAAGATTACCCTGGATGCACCCCAGTGGGACAGGAGACAGTTAACTATTCATTGCAGAGTGGTGGTAATTACTGCCTATTGGTTAATGACCGAATTCAGGACTGTACTGCTTGCTCATCCAGCTAATATACCTGAGATCCAAGCATGCCGCACACTTCACGATATGCACAACTTGGTTGGCTAATAGCAGTGAATTAACACAGACAACAATACTTTTGTTGAAAGTATTTGTGGTTGTTCTCTGAGTAAACAGTTATCAAAAGGCCATGCTTAAATACATTAACATGAGGTACATTTCCTTGAACAGCTGGAAGCAGATTTCTATGAAACTTCAGCTCTACCTTTCCCAAAGTACCATCATGACAAAATTACTCAAAGATCATCTCCTACTTCATTTCAGCTATATATCTGCACTTGGTTTGGTTTTCTTTATTTTCAGTGTTCTCCCATAGCATGTTTCACATGGTTCTTATCAAGACCTTCCTACTCTTGTCATTTTGCCCTAAAATTCAGTATCCAGTTTGGAAAAAAAAGTTTCCTAGATTTCAATATCAAGTAAGATTACAACCTGTAAGGAAAACTAGAGCCTTTGTAAATTATGTTTTAGATTAGCTTATTAAATTGTTGCTCTGAATTTTTTGGTTCAAGTATGCTTATTCCTTGCTACTTTTTCATACTGCTACTTAAATTTTTAACCTAAGCTTTTGAATTTATACAAGGAATTACCCGAAAAAGAGTAACCATCCCTGTTTTTTAAAAAAAAAAAAAACCAGGAAAGGTGAATGGTCAAGTACTAGAAGACAACAGCAGTGCCAAGAATAAGCTAATTTGTACCCCAGAATATTTTGTCCACTCTCAGAATGGACAAGAAACCCAAGCAAATAATCACACACCACTAGTACACCAACTTATGCACAAGTAGGAGAAAAAAAAAAAATAATCCCAACATACAGGTTATGACGGACAGCAATGAGTGATTTTAGGCAATTTGTGTTTTGGCCTAAACGTAGTTTGAAAACTCAGCTTAACAACCTTATCATTCAAAATTCCATAATGACTGGTGACAGTCTATCATTCCCCCTTCCTTCTTACCCTAAATTTGAGATGGCAAAGGGAAAAAGCATGCTTGACACTTTTGCAGACCAAGATAAGTAACTACATCTGTCACGGATGAAGATAAAACTGGGAAAGAGGGCTACAAATCTGGCGAAAGGCTTTATAATACCCTTCTGATGCAGAAGGGCAGCCTTCAGGTCACTGGCCTGCAAGGTGAGGTCTTCCAGTGTCTCCTCTACGTAAGCTCTCACCACAACACCATGCTCGTCCTGAGCACAGAGCTCTTTATGGTCTCTCTTGGCTCTAAAATGCAAAGCCAACTTCTGCTTGCATGAGTCATCACACACCTCCCTCCCTCTCTCCTGGCTGGCATTACTCTGTGGATGAAAGACATCCTTGCCAGCGTCCAAGTTCCACCCATCCCAGATAACCACAGGAATCAACACAGGAATGAAATTCAAACTTCAGTAACAGTTTAACTCTACATACAATGGATGTATTTTGTATTATACAAAATAAATGTATTTTAACACTTGGCTTTCCAAGAGGTCATTCCAAGATCTTTCATGTTCTCTTTACAGTTGCATGATACAGCTTGTATCCCAAACTGAAAGCATCTGGGCTTTGTGGAATACAGAGGTCCTCTTTGTAAAGTTTGAAACTGAAGTTTTACTTACTTATATTCAAATTTACACCAAGATTCCAAAATATCAGGTAGCTGCCTGCCGACACCTTTTTTGGAGAATTTATTCTGGTTTTGCAAATACTTTCAGTTTTAGTTCAAAGACACACAGTACAGACAGAGACAGGTGGGCTTGAAGAAGCAGTGGAGAACTGTATGTCCATCCTTGCAAGTTCCCGCATCTCTGCCACAATGACCCATGTAAAAGTAACTTTGCTAGCTGCCTTTGCCTCGCTACGTGCAGGTGTACTATGTTGCCAATGAAGAGAGAGTTGAATATAACCCCTAAGACCACATGGCACAAATGCTTTTTTTTTTTTATATATAGTATTTGTTGATTAAGAAGCACAAAGATTGTAGGAATTGACCCACAACATGCAGGACTTACTTCCCTGGTGCTTTCTTTATGAACGTAAATCCACTTTTCACGATAAAAACCTAAAATAAAATCAAAATATAAGCATTTTTAGGCTTCCACTTTAGGTAATACCTTCTAGAAAGAAACTGAAGAAAACAGACCATCCTCATTAAAGTGCTTCATAAGACAGGAGAGATGGTAGAACAGTTTTAATGAAGGAAGTTTATAAAGGCTGAAAAGAATGACTACAATTTTCAGAAGTTATGTACTTCAAAAAAATAAAGGAAAAAGTTAAATATTTTTATAAATCAAACACAAGAGTTGGCACACAATTGGCAGTTACAGCACAGCTTTTGTCAGCTATGTACCCACGACAGTCCATTTCTCCTACAAAATGCCAGATCTTTTTTAGTCCAGCAGGCTCCTTAGCACTTAACACAGGTAAGTACAGCAACAAGCAACCTTTTTGTTCCTGAATCCCTCTAATCTATTTTCTTCTGTAAAAGTGCCTTCTCTGCATCCACTTGGTTCAACTAGTTGCGGAACGCTGAAGAGAAGTCAACTGTACAAGACTAATAAAGGCAACTAGGCAGACCTTTAACTTTCAGCAGTCTGGTATTTCTCAAAGGAAAGCATGCTCTTACATATATCCACTTGAATCTTTTGAAATACTTTATGCCCAGACAAGCCTGAGGGAGCTCACAGCTTTCTGCAAGACCGTCCCTGTTACAATCTTGGGAATATACAAATAATGGAGATCATTTCAAGATCAAAGCATTAGAAACACCAAAAAGTTGCTTATCAACTTTCCTTTTTTTACCTACTCTACCAAATTCTCTACTTCAGTAAGTTTACATGCTGTCATACACATATTTGCAGTCTAAAGTACAGGTGATCTTTAAAATGAGAACTGACAAAAACGGCTTTGATATTTTATTTTAAAAAAGGGACTATTCTCAAGAAATTCAATACCAATAAAATCTTTACCAAGACAAATAAATACATTTTGTCATAATACCTATTGATGAACTGATTCTGGAGCTGTAACACTAATTAAAATTTGAATTAAGCAAAAATAAAACAGTTGCTTTGGTAAGCAGAAGCTTCCATAAGCATCCAGAAGAACTTAATCTAAAACTAGTCCACAAAACAAAACAGTGGTTAGTATGAGAAGGCATTTATTATTTGGTAATTACTATTCTTAATCGAGTAACTTTGGATCTTTGAAAAAATCACACAACAGATGATCCATGCCACAGTTCAATTAAGATGTATCACTTCTGACACCAGAATTTATTGCTCATATAGAAGTGAACACAACTCAGAAGGCTACTCTACAGATGAATATAAATGAATGGCTATTATAAAATGTTGCTGAGCTTACAAGAATCTTCTAAAATAAATGGAAAAAACACCCCCAAACAGCCTTACATTGCGAATCTGTGTTATTCCTAAAATGATCTTTTTTCCTTTTCTTGGCCGCAAACTCACAATCTTCAGTGTTGTATAGTTCTTCATCTTCATCATCACCAGTTAAGATGCTGAAATAAACACATCTAATTAGAACAGCAGTGATTAAATATTTAGATGCATACAGCTTATAATTCTCTATATTAAAGCCTGCCAGCTGGAAAAAATAACCATATTTTTAATGATGTTCCTCTACCTGATGCTCTATAGCAATACATTTCTTAAGAGAGAAGCTGTCTTGCCCTTCCCAGTGGGGTTGAATTTTTTGTCAAAGTGATTAAGTACACAAAAGTATCTTCCTAATGGTTATCTTGTAAGTCATTACTGACATTTAGGAAGGACTACTGATGAGACAGTACTAACTAGACAGCTGGCTGTCTGCAGAGCTCTAGTGTACAAAAATTCATTATTTGAAATGGACCAAGCCTTGAAAAACTGTGCACACGGGTAAAAGTCAGTGCAGAATTACAGCACATCCCCTTATAGGCAGAAAGACAGCACAGAAAGACATCTCTCAACTACTGTCAACTACAGTCTTCCTTTTAATAAACGCCTCAATCACAACACTGTACATAACTTAGGTGTCACAACAATGTTTTACCAATGATTTTACATCATCAAGAACCACATGTTCTACCCTCCTCTCTCCCAGAGAGAATCAACTATACCTGTGTCACTTCTGACGGTTAACTATGTAACCTAGCACTGAGGACTATACACTATGTATAATTATTCAGTATATGTAGATAGGCTGAGTGTATATATATATAAAAAAATCTATAAAGAAACTACTAAAGAAGTTTTGTTGGATAAACTAACCTTTCTAAAATTCATATACATTTTAAAACTGCTTGTGCTACATAAAGTCTACACAGTTTCATAAAGTTTTGCTTTCTGTTTTTGCAGATAATTATAAGGAACAGCAATACAGATAAGAATGGGCGTTGATTGCTCCAGCACAGAGAAGGAAGATACTTCACATGAAGGCCACAGTCTTACAGAGATTAGCAGAATAACTAAGGATATGTGGTAGTGAAGCTTAACTGTAAGACTATTTTATTTCCCCATTATTATTCTTTGACAAGAAAGTTGTATACAAAACCCTTCCCATTCATTACTATTTTTTAATCCAAGTTTGCCAGATGTTAGTTTGAACTTCAAATTGCACCAGCAACAGCTGAACATTTTAAAACTGAAGGATACCAGTTATTTAAAAATAACCCGTACTTGGGCATTAAGTTGCAAAAAATCAAATTTCATTAGTTTATTGCTACTAGTTTATACAGTTAAATTTTTCAGGCTTGAACCATCTGTTAAGGACGATGACTGAACAACACTATAGAAAAGTCTGGGTTTTCTTAAAATCACTCTAATCGGTAAATGCTAGCTCAGCTTAAAGATACACAAGTTGAGAAGACTCAGAAAGTTGTTTTCATCTTAGGTTTAAATCCTAAAAAAAGCTAACATACTTCTGCATTCAGACAGAGCTCAATCCAAGTTGAGGGATGTAGCTCTTGTCTTACAATTTTTAAAGCAGAGGATAAAGACTCGACAACTTCAATATTCTATGCAACATTGCCAGATATCATATCCGGTCAAACAGCAAAAAGAGTTTGAAGAAAAGGAACTGGCAACTCACAAAAGCAGAACATCAACACTGACAAGTTACTTTGATTATGTAACATTCCAATCCATATTTTTCCAAAGCTATCATAAAGGAAATCTCTTCTCACTAAAGTCAGTAATTTAATTATGTTTTAGCATATTGACTGCATCACCACAACACATGAGAAGTTCCTGCAGAATCAAAAAAGTTGCTACAGAATCAGAAATAGAGCCCAAAGCTCCCAGACCTAGCTTTATCACCCTAACGACAGATACAGGACTAGAGGGATATGGCCTGATACCCTACAATATAACTCAGGCAGAACAGAAACATGCCCATTCCCATTGACCCAGTGCAATGGGGAAAGGAGGGGAAGCAGCATTCCTGAAGGCCAGCTTTAGAAGACAATGGTTAATCTGGCACGATTCCTTCTTTTGCTCCTGGAGAGCAGGTGTCCTTAGAAGGCAATTTAGACCAGTAACATACCTGAGGTGATTTAAAGCTCACCCTGTCCCCCCAGTAATATACACTTCATCAAGCATCAGATAAACAAGCAAGGCAGATTAATGACAGTCAATTAATACAAGGAATTGTGAAGATTAAGAAGGCTATTTCAAACAAATTTGTCTGACATTCAAATTCACCCATGACATTCCTGGAATTCTTCATGTCATTTTAGAGAACAGACAAAATTTGACTTATCTCTGAGGATCTTCTCGTATGAGGCTTTAACTCCTCAGGTTCTGTTGCACTTCATGTGGAGTCTTTTCTTACTTATCTGTAATTATCACCATTCTTCTTGACAAACTTTAAGTCTCTTACTGAGAATGAAAGCAAGGGTCCCACGACATCAGAAGAATTGGACAGAAATACAGGCACTTCCCCAGCACCTGGTAGCCTTCCTTCCAGAAATCTGGAAAGCTGGTTAATGAGTAACAAAGAGCCTCCACCATTTCCACAAGCAACTCCTGCCCCGCCCCCCCAACCCCAAGCTAAGATACAAGAAACCAAATCAAGTGCTGCACATGCCATATGGTGTAACAGAAGCGTTAATCTAATGTTTTTACCTTAATACTGCACATGACAGAGCACCTGGAAGGATTTAACATATGTAATACTGCCAATTTACAGCTATTCTTACTTTTTTGTCTTGATTATGCACTTCATAAAAAATTATTCTAAAGCTTCTAAAAGTTAACTACCAGGTGTCCTTAGCACTACAATACCCTACACAAAGCATGCAAGAATTTCAGCTTTTTCAAAAAAGTAATTTCATAACAGTATTTAAATAACCTCTTGGGTATGCCACTTAAAATGCTGGAAAACTTGACACGGCTATCTGAACTCCAACTATTCTTCGTCATCCCCTTGCTTCTTTTCTCATGGAGGAAGGAATGCACTCAAGTCATGCAATTATCTACAGAGACACACTAAGTGTTTTAGAAGAGACTCAAAGCCATTTACAGCTTGATCATGCATGGAAAATCCTGAGGTAAGTGCCTGCACCAAATAATGTTACAATGTATTTGTCAAATGCCCAAATTATCAAAGACTAGATTCAAATCCAAGGGCTTCTATCCAGTACCAAAACCACTTTTGTGAACACCATATCTCACTTACAGAATTAGACAAGAGACACCACAGACTCAAATGACTACCCTGCCAGCCCAAGTAGTTCATATGAACCTAACACACAAAAAAAAGGAGTATCACCATCATGAAAATCTTATTAGTCTGATTCTCTCTTTCTTTTACCTCAAAGGGAAAGCATAAGCCAGCTTTACTCCTAAGTTGCAGGCAACTGAGAGGTATTTGCATGCAATTCTGTTAAGGCAGTGCTGTTCTCTCTCCCCCCACCAAGCTTCAACAACACAGTGCTGTGGCACTGGAAATACCTATCTGTACTAGAATTTATAGGTACAAATTGTAGGTAGTCATGGCCAGCGTTCAGCCCACAGATCTTGAATGAGCACTGCCTCAACCACATTTCCCGCTACTGTATACCTTGAATACAAGACACTCTTCACTTATATAATAATATTAATTATCCAAATAAGTAAGAGCTACAGAACTGAGGGTCTCACATTTTCTATCTCAGTTTCCATAAATGGAACTAATTTAACATGCAACTATTTGAACATTATTCCAAATCACTTAAAGTGTTCCTGCACAAGTGATTATGTTTGTTCAAGGATGGTTATCATTAGGTCCACTATTTTTGACTAATTCATCAAGTGGATTCACCAAGGCACTGGATGAGTAACTGAATAAGGTAAAAAGTTCTATTTTAACAAAAACATATTCTTCAATTTATGTAAGTTATTTACATGTCTTGAAGGTTTATTTCTGAATCTGTTTGTGAGTAGATCTTTTCAATTTCTGAAGGGAAAGTACTTGTAATTAATGAAAGACAAAGTTTGGCAAGTAACTCTATCCGTACTTTCTCTCACAGAAGAGAATACAAGTAATAATAAACAGGGTTTCAGCCAACTACATAGCTTGAATTTATTTCTTTTTAAAGGAAAACTGCCATAACTGCTCCCTGGAATACAACATAAGTACTATCTTTAGCATAGATTTCTACAGAATATTTTGATGAAAAATATTATTATTTCATTTAATGAGTGAAAGTAAATAAAATCCTGTTAGGACTGCCAGACTGGCATAAACCATCATCCTTATTCACAGGGCAGTTTAAAAAGAGACAAGTACTTATGTATTGTTTACTGTATGCTTCTTCCACAAGGAAGGAAGCATTTTAGCAAGCCTCATCCTTACTCGGTGCTGTATCTTGTTAACAGATACCCTAATCTGAGCTGTCTGTTCAATATACAGATATAATTGTTTCCAAATAGCTTAAAATGGTACAGAAAACCAGCCAGCAAGACACAGTACACTGCTGTACTTCAATACAAAGCCCTGCACATGGGATAGAAGAACCCCATGCCCGGGTATGCGCTGGGTACAGACCGGACAGGAAGCAGTTTTGCAGAAGAGCCAGGGGTCTTGTGGATAATAAGCTGAACACAGGTCAGCAGTGTACCCTTGTGTTGTAAAAAGCCAACTGCACACTGGTCTGAGTTAACAAAAGTGTATCCTGCAGACTGAAAGAAGTAATCACCCCCCTTTATTTGGCATGAGAAACTGCATCTGGAGTACTGTGTCTAGTTTGGGGCTCCCCAATGCACTGAAAACATTGGCATACTGGAACAAGTCCAGTGGGGAGTTACCGAAGTGATGAAGTACTGGAGCACATGATGCATGAGGGTAAGAGAACTGAGCTTGTTCAGTGTTAAGAGGCGGTGGTGGAAGAAAATCTGATTACGGTCAGTATCTAATACGAGGGTATAAAGAAAATAGAGCTAGACTGTAAGGTTAGAGGAGGTGGGCAGTAATAAGCCAAGTGGTAATGGACACAATCTGTGACAAGAGAAATTCTAATTCGATTGTGGGCAGGGGGGAATGGGACAAAAAAAAAAAAAGAAATCACCGTGAGGGCAATGGAACTTTGAACAGGAGCCCAGAGCAGAATCTTCATTCTTGGAAATGCACAAAGCTCAACTGGGCAAGACGCTGTACAACCCAACCTCAGTAGGCCCGGCTTTGAGTGTTTTCACCAGATGACCCCCAGAGGTACTTTCCAACCTAAGTTGTTCTATAATATTGTGCAAATAGACATTAATTGCTGTTTAGCAGCAAAGCTGAACTCGTAGATCCAAAGTTCAAGTTGTAGTGAAGTTACTCCCAAGTAATGCTAATTTGCCAAGAAGTACCAACTTGAATTCTGTAGTCTAAGTTTGGACAATATACATTTTTAACTGAAAAGACAGAAGCAGAATTAAAAAAAAAAAGGCTACAGAATATGGTGTGGCTTGGCTTCGCTACATAGGAGATGTGCAAGATGAAGATGGGGAACTGGGAATTGCTACAGACAAGGGCATCTGCTGCAGACTACATAGACCCCAGAGTTTGGGATTCCGACAACTAGCAAGCTAGCCTAACAAACCCAAACCATGAAACACCTCAGCTTTAATAAAAACTTTTTCCCCCATTTCATGGCCAGTCCCTTCAAATTAATGTACCTATTTTAGTCCTGAACTTTAATACTCTTATATCTTTCCAAAACCAGTTGATTTAAATCCGTTTCTAGCAAAACAGCTCCAGAGGAGTTCAATACTAAGCTCTTGCAAGACTAAGGGGGGGTGGGGGGGGGAAGTATCTAGCATTTTTGCTTGAAGAAGCAATAAAAATACCTTCCTCTCTGGAGAAAAGATAAATATATCTCAACATATAATTAGGATCAGAAGAGCAAAAGTATTAATGATATTCACAAAACCAATGATCATTTATGTCATACTTGCCAAACAACATTCATTAAAGCAACCTACAAAATAAAATTATTTAGTAACTGTGCAAACAGCTGTCAAAATTAAATTAGATTTCCTTTCATTTGGTAACTATATTATTAAAGATATATGAAAGAGGGAAGAGAAGATTTTTTGCAAAGGTATTTAAGACAACTTTTATGTTGGAGGCTTACTGAACACTCTTCCAGACAAACATAGTCTTTTGTATCCACAGTGGCCAGACTACGTGGAAAAAGAAGCACAAATAATATCAGTGGCAAATGAACACAAGAAGAAAAAGACATGAAGAAAACAGTAGATCAAGATAAGCTTAGTAATAATTCTTCACTGCTTGGTAAGTCTCTTAAGGTTTATTTCACAAATTTAGAAAACACAGGTGTGCAAGCACAGCAAGTCCTAGCTTGCCAGTAAATTCCCTCTAAATCAGATCAGTTACTGTATCATTTACTGGACTAACAACAAAACACTGAATGTTCCCTTTTCTCATTATGAACACATTATGCCAGAATTTATGACCAAGAATGCTATCCCTGAAAATTACTTCTTGGTGGAGAAACCAAGTAGAAATTTGTTTGGACAAAGCTATTTATATCACACCAGTCTGTGGGCATCTGCCACAAGTATTACTCTATTTAACAAGTATCTTTCTCACCCGTTCCACAGGAGCACGCATAGTCATATATTGTGTTAGAGACATACCACAAAACGACCATTAATTGTGTATTTGGAGCAAAGGCATTATACGACTGCTGTAAACAGTCCTCATCCAACACCCAATCAGCAGAAAGTCTTCATTCACTTCCAAGTAACATTTCAATATGCCTGTTGAACTTGCAATTTGTAAGTATCACTTATCTTTAAAAAGTATTTGACAGGTTTTTTGTTTGGTTGGTTTTTTTTAAGGGTTTTTTTTTATTTTTGAAGACATACAACATAAGATGGGATCTGTCTGCCTAATATAAGCAACTCACAAAGCAGTGACAAAAGACAGACAATCTCTATAGGGGTCTCCTGTCTGCCTAACTAAACAAAACACACGGTTGCATTTGTGTACTTCTAGCATATGTAGATGATATGCAGACGACACCAAGCCGAGTGGTGCGGCTGACACGCCAGGAGGACGAGTTGTCATCCAAAGGACAAGTGGAGAGGCGGGCCTGTGTGAACCTCATGAGGTTCAACAAGGCCAAGTGCAAAGTCCTGCACCTGGGACGGGGCAACCCCCAATATCAGTACAGGTTGGGGGATGAAGGGTTTGAGAGCAGCCCTGCGGAGAAGGACTTGGGGGTACTGGTGGATAAAAAGCTGGTCATGAGCCGGCAATGTGCACTTGCAGCCCAGAAAGCCAACCGAATCCTGGGCTGCATCAAAAGCAGCGTGGCCAGCAGGTTGAGGGAGGTGATTCTGCCCCTCTACTCTGCTCTGGTGAGACCCCACCTGGAGTACTGCGTCCAGCTCTGGGGCCCTCAGCACAAGAAGGACATGGACCTGTTGGAGCGGGTCCAGAAGAGGGCCACAAAAATGATCCAAGGGCTGGAGCACCTCTCCTATGAGGAAAGGGTGAGAGAGTTGGGGTTGTTGAGCCTGGAGAAGGGAAGGCTGCGAGGAGACTTTATTGTGACCTTTCAGTACTTAAAGGGGGCCTATAGGAAAGATGGGGACAGACTTTTTAGCAAGGCCTGTTGTGACAGGACAAGGAGTAATGGATTTAAACTAAAGAAGAATAGATTTAGACTGGATATAAGGAAGAAATTTTTTACAATGAGGGTGTGAAGCACTGGAAGAGGTTGCCCAGAGAGGTAGTGGAGGCCCCATCCCTGGCAACATTCAAGGTCAGGTTGGCTGGGGCTCTGAGCAACCTGATCTGGTTAAAGCTGTCCCTGCTCACTGCAGGGGGGTTGGGCTAGATGGCCTCTAAAGGTCCCTTCCAACCCAAAGCATTCTATGATTATATGATATCATCTACCACAAACACTTGCAGTCTGAATGGAAATTAAATCAATCTTTGCATTCTGACCTGCTATTAACTTACACAGAATCACTATTTTTTTTTGTTTTTTAAACTTACACAGTGTGACCAATATCATTCAGCTGATTATTCCCATCCTCAAGTGCAGGACTGAAGGGTTCACATCGTTTCCATCCATCTTCTGTTTTAACCCATCTCCATCCAGGGGATCTCCAGTCTTGGCCCAAAAATGGCATGGTTTCTCTATAAGCAGCAACAAGATTGTTTGTGTATTATTTAATTAATAAGAAAAGTTGCAAAACTTCTTGTCATTATTCAGTTTTCTCTTTAACCTTATAAAAATATAATGTCTACCTTGAGGAAAGAAAGTTCTCTGTAGAGCATCCTTTCAAGAAACAGATTCAGTGGTTTCTTAAGTACATTTTTGATTCTGTAACCATTTTTGATTCTTGTCTTTCAGCATTTATTAGATCAAGGTAGGCTTCCTAGTTCTTTAGAGAACAAAGAAAAGAATCATGGTAATCCAGGAAAGGGATAATACCAAACCGAGCAAAATTGTGTCCTGTGTAATCTGTTTCACCATGATCAAACAGATTACTGATTTTGAAACTTGACTAATAAATGGTTGTTAAAGAGTTTGACAGGCCACAAAATCAATGTTGTTCCTTTTATTTTCTTCTAAGGCTTTTAAATAGTGAGTTTGTGCTACACCGTATAGTGATGTTTCAGTAAAGGAACGTTCGTTTTCCCAAATATTTTTTCAGTTATTGAGGGTCACCTCCCACACTAGGCTATTAACTGGATACCAGGAGAAATGGAGACTGCAACGTAAAGTAAATTGTGAAATGTCTCCTGAAATTCCTACAAACAGATGCAAGTCATCACAGGTATATCATTTAAACAGTGTTCTGCTACCCTTGAGATTCACTTCTGACACATTAAGCAAGAATTTGAACACAGCAGTTTTCTACACTTTGAAGATTCTGACCTTGCCAGCTTTTGCCCTCTTCCCATTCATCATGCATACATGTCACTCCTTACTTTAACCAGGGATTTCACATGTAAGCTATGCAGGGAAAATAGCATTATCGTATTTGAAACATATGTTAATATATTAACACCAACAGCTTTGTTCCTAACAAGTATGCATTTTCTAATGCCACATCAGTCAAACATCACTATGAATTTATTTATCCATTTGCACTCTTGACCAGCATCTGCCCAATATACTAGTTAGAACAGAAGGCATAGACACATAGAAAGCCTGAAGAAATACAAGTTGAGTGAGACAGTATTTTTTTTTATTAAAAACCGTACACCACACGAAGTGCATTGTCTAGCCCTCAGCATTGACTAAAGTCCCCCTTCCCACTCATACTTGGCCTTCCTCTGTATATAACAGGAATCTTTTCCAAAATTTACCACATCCTTTCCTCCCGCCACCGCAAACTCTATTCATTCTTATCTGCTTTTCCAGTCTTTTTACAGCTTCCTAGGGGTACTATGAACCATAAGATACTTTTTTCCCCAAGTTGTTTAGAATTCCTCTAATTTTGACTGAAATTAAGGCCTCTTGTCTTTATCATACATCTGTTTAAATAGTTGGCGCTCATGAGTGCATTTCAGAACAACATAGGTTAAAGTATTTTTACTCCTGCCAAGATAAGCAGAATTTATCTGAAAATTTGTTAAATCAGTGAAAGACTCAGAAGACAGCAGACGGCAAGTCAAAAACATCATCTTAGACAAACATAAAACAAGTTTTTGAACCATATCTAGAAATACAGAGCTCACAATCTATTCCTGGTCAGCAGCTCTGATATAAAAATAAAACACTATTGTAGGTGCATGTCATTACTCAAAAATTAAAATCTGGAGAGAGTTCAGAACCATAGAGATCATCATAGGCTGACTGGAATAACTTGAAAAAAAAGATTTCAAATATTTCAAAAATACTTCCATTAAGAATTGTTGGGAAAACAAAGTGAAAGCAATGAGACCACATACTTGCAGTAAGGTGGGAACATGTAGTGTTAGAAGTTAACAGGATAAGTTACAAAAAAATGAGGATAAAGGAAAAAACTTCCTGAAAACAATACAAGAAAACATAGAATATTTTGTTCAAGTGGACAGAAGTAGCTGAAGTCCAAAGCTAATCATAATTCACACAATACGATGCTTACTATGCTTTATAAATTCTTAAACTTTGGACTCCCCCTTCCACCCCCC